ACATAGGGCACAGTAACACTGTTTGACAGAGCAAATTCTCAGCTACAGAACACTCTTTTTCAGCATAGTCACCATCATTATCCAGTGTGTGCAAATGAGCTGATCTAGGCACTCTTCACTTCGTGGTGTGACTGCTGTGCATGGCCATCCAGAACATGGCTCATCTTTCACATCACTGTTGCCACTGCTGAAATGCACCACCCTCCACCTCACTGTGCTCACATCCACTGTTTGGTCTCCATAAATGCTCAGCAAATGTACATGAATGTCAGTGGGTGCCATATTTTCCACATGGAGGAATTCAGTAACACATCTTTGTTTCATACATGTTTCTGTGTCAGATAACTTTTTGTCAGAGTGCCCCTCTGCTGCCACCTGTCACACAGCAACAAAATGTAACTGAATATTGGTGGGACGGTTCACACTCTCCTGCCATATCACCAGCATCCATGTCTGACATTGTAAGCCAGTATAATAACATAGCGGGCATTGCTTTGTCAGGTTCTGTGGGGACAAAGCAAAGGGAAATAATGTAAACTAAAAGAGGGGAGATTTAGATTAGGTATAAGGAAGTTGTTCACAATAAGGGTGGTGAAGCACTGGAGCAGGTTGCCCAGAGAAACTGTAGCTGCCTTGCCCCTGAAGAAATCCAAGGCCAGGCTGGACCAGGCTCTCTCTGAGCAGCCTGGTGTAGCTTTAAGTGTCCCTGTCCATTGCAGGGAAGTTGGACTACATGATCTTTAAGAATCCCTTCCAATTTAAATGATTCTATGACTGTGATTCTATGACTTTCAGTACAGCCATCATATTATTAAGCATTTTAAAAAGACTCAGTTACTGGATTTAGGGTCAAAAGCACTGTACTGACTTCTAAAGAGACTAAATGTAACATTTTTTCTGTGTCTTGTTATTAGACTAATAGACACTAAAAACAGATGGATGTGCAATCCATGCCACAAAACAATGTGATTTGGTCAATGCTGCTCAGAGCTCATGCTGAAGAGATGTGTGCAGGAACTGGGGGTTCTTTGACTCCAGCGGGCCAGCAGTGGGTCCATGCAGCACTTGTTGAGCCCAGCCAGGTTGGAGCCTTCTGCAGCTAACCTTCCCCTCATTTCTCAAGATGGAGGAAGCAATGAATAAAAAGCAAATAGCTATGATTCTCAAATGCACCATTGCACTGTCATTTATGAGTGTTAAACAGTTCTACTCCACAAGAAGCCTGGTACAAAAATCAAATATTGAAAATCTGGTCTCTGGTCTCACCCTGCATTTTCATGGCATAAGATTCACTCTCTGACCAAAATATGCCATGCTTACTCAGGCAGACACTGCACTCACTTTCTTCAAATTGTATTTTAGAGAAATATGGAGGGAAAAGTTTCTGTTCTTATTCTTAATTTTTCATTTTCAATCTCACTTCAAAATTTATTCATTTTTTGGCTCAGTTGAGGTCATGCAGAACAACATCCTTATTTTCTTCAGTACCTGTTGATTTTCTTGATTTTCTCTTGTATCCCTTCATTCTACAGAAATGGCTTCCTTTTTTTTTTTTCTTTTTTTTTTTCTTTTTTTTTTTTTTGGCCTTCTCTTCTTCACTTTCCTGCTTTCTCCAGTGTCATCTCTTCACATTTCCCAGTAATTCAGTATTTTTCTCATAATTTCCTGGTTTATTTCATTCTACTCACCCTTGGAAGATGTTACCAGAAACCAATGACCAGAGAAAAATAAATGGATTAGGCAATGATTACAATATAGGAAAAAAAATTAAAAATCAATCTCCAATCATTGTTCTGGAATTAAAATGCAGGGTGTGTATAGAAAAACCTACATATTTAGTTGTTTTTCCTTACAAATTACCTAAGAATTTAACTAGGGAAAAGCAAAGCCCTGCTCCTTTTGCACCCAGAAAAAGCTGCCCCGACACCCCTCAGGCACAGTCCCATGGCCTATCAGGGGCACAACATTCAGGCTTTCAGAGATCATAGAATCGTGGAAGGATCAAGGATGGGAAAGACCTCTAAGATCATCTAGTCTAACCATGTCCTACAGTGATACATCAACAATTTTCTTGAATACTTCCAGGGACAAAAACTCCATCACCTCCCTGGACAGCTTGTTCCAGTGCATTACCACTATTTCTGAGAAGAAGTGTTTGCTATTACCCAAGCTGAACCTCACCTGGCACATCTTAAAGCCACCAAATCTTGTCCTGTCACTGTTACCTTGGAGACGATCCCAATTCTCACCTCACCACAACCTCCTTTCAGATCATTGTAAAGGGCAATAAAGTTTCCCCTGAGCCTCCTCTTCTCCAGACTGAACAATCCCAGCTCCCTCAGCTCTCCTCATAAGACCTGTGCTCCAGACCCCTCACAGCTTCATTGCCCTTCTCTAAATGGTCTCCAAGGCCTCAATGTCTTTCTTTCAGTGAGGGGCCAAAAGCTGAACACAGAACTCGAGGTGCGGTCTCACCAGAGCTGAGTACACTAGGAGGATCACTTCCCTGCTCCTGCTGGCAGTGCTATTTCTGATACAAACCAGGATGCAATTTATATTCTTGGCCACCTGGGCACACTGCTGGCTCATATTCAGCGGGCTGTTCACTAAGACTCCCAGGTCGTTTTTCCTCCCATTCTTCTTTCCAGCCACTCTGCCCCAAGCCTGTAGTGTTGCCCTGTAGTGTTGCCTGGGGCTGTTGTGACTGAAGTGCAGGACCTGGCACTTCATCTTGTTGAATTTTAACCCATTGGCTTCAGCCCAGTGAACTAGTCTGTCCAGACTCTTCTGCAGGGCTTCCTACCACCCAAGCAGATAGACACTTCCTGCCAGTAAGCGAGCTTACTGAGGATGTACTCAGTCCTCTCATCCAGATCATCAATAAAGATATTAAACACGGCCAGGCCCAGTACTTGCCCCTGAGGAACACCACTCATGACCAGTCACCAGCTGGATTTAACTTCATTCGCCACCACTCTCTGTGGGCCCAGCCATCCAGCCAGTTCTTTCCCCAGTGAAGAGTACACTTGTCCAGGCCATGGGCTGCCAGCTTCTCCAGGAGAATGCCATGGGAGTCAGAGTCAAAGACTTTGCTCAAGTCTAGGCAGATCACATTCACAGCCTTTCCTTCATCCACCAGATGGGTCACCTGGTCATAGAAGGAGATGAGGTTGGTCACTCAGGATCTGCTTGTCATGAAACCATGCTGTCTGGTGCCAGTGCCCAGGCTGTCTCACACATGCTGGATGATTGCACTCAAAATGATCTGCTCTGTGACCTTACTTGAATATCAACTGGAAGAGTTCTGTAAGCAGGCGGTCTTACAAATTACCAAAGAATCACTAGATCCACCTCAAATGTGGACACTCTGAAAAGAGGATGAGCACCCTGAATTGGTCTGGGACATCAGGACTGCTCTGAGTATGGCTGCAGGACAGAACCCAGCAGAGTTTGCTCAGTACATGTTTGTAATCAGTGATTATTTCGCAGAAGTTGGAGGGACTTACGCCACTGACTTCAAGGGACCGAACCACTGCTGAGACAGGGAATGCGGAGGCAGACTCACTGCTGTATGGTAGATTCATTGCTGTTGATGATTATTTTAACTGTAGTATCATCTCCTTACTGATGTTCCAGTACTCTTAGACACATGGAATAAGACATATGACTGAAATGATATATGAGCAAGGATTGAAACATTAACATTAATGCAGCATTGCAGTGCTTTAATTTCTTTTTACAAGCATGTGTTATGTTGCACATAGACAATGTGAGAAGGAAATGCTGTGTGCTAGAGTTTAACTATTTTTCTGTCATGAGGTAATGGTCTGTGTGTGGAATCAGTGTGGCATCTGGCTAAGAACTGTGTTCACGCAGTGTTGAATCCAGGCATTTATTTCCTGTGAGTAACAGAATTAAGTTTACTACGGAAATGAAATGTGGTGTCCTTAAACAGTGCTTGCACACAGCAATCTGCTGCTGCTTGGGGGCCCAAGGATTCAGCAGCACGCTTTCAATGTAGCACTATACCCACAAAGTCAGTTCGGCTTTGCTGAGCACTAACGCCCATGAGCCCACTGCATAGAGAGGATGGTGAGAAATATCTGACAGGGGCTTCAAATCAGAAAAGGTGCTGATCTGGAGGGCGGGAGGACACTCTCCGCGCTGCCCTAGGAGGGGCATCGGCCCACCCCTGTGCCATCTCCTGTGCATGGGATGAGTGTAGTGTTCTGCTATCGGAAAGCACCGACACGAAGGGTTACGCTGACAGATAAAACACAGCGACTTCGCGTTCTGAAGAACGAACGTTGTTCCAGAGGGTAGGCAGTGCCCCCAAGAGACAGAGCTGCTGGCCCTGCCACGACCCGCCAGCGATGCGCACAGCCGGCGACCCCGCCAGGCACGTTCTAGGCCGCCCCCGGGGGATCGGCACCAGCTCCGCCGAGAGCTGCACGGGAGATCGCCGAGGGCTCGAGGCGCGGGAGGGGGGCTGCGGCCCCTCTCTGGCTCCCACCCTACGAAGCCGGCGCGACGCTGACACCGCCCGCACACGCGGACCCCCGCCCCCGGCTCGGCCCCCGCCAGCGGCTCCCGGTTGCGAGGCGGGGCGGGCGCGGGTTCCGGCGGGCGCTGGATGGAAGAAGCACTCCTCCGCCGGGCACGACCGCGCTCGCCCCCCCGCCCCCTCGCTCTCCCCCCGCTCCCCCCCCCCCCGCCGCCTGCGGGGAGGAGGACGGCGGGGCATGCCGCCGGCGGGGCGGTTCCGCGGGGACTGACATGCTGCTGAAGAAGGGAAGGCGCCGGCCCCTCCGCCTCTCCTCGCGGTAGCCGGGGCGATGCTGCAGGGCGCTCTCCGGGCTCTCCCGCAGGCGCCAGCTTTCCGCACACTGCCGTGAACGGAGCGGGGCGCGCACCCTCCCCGGAGCGGCGGCGGGGAAGGCGCTGCCCGCGCCCGCGGGGCCCCCTCGGCGGCGGCGATTCCGCGCAGCGGATGCGCGTGCATGAGCTCTGCACTGAGCGGGCGCAGGAAGCGCCCCCGCCCCGTCGCCTCCATCTTCCCGGGCAGCGGGACCTCGCCGCGCGGCCGCGAAGGGGAGCGGCGGGGCAGCGGCTTCGAGGGCGCCTGCCAGAACCAGCGGGCCCTGGACGACTGCAAGACGGTGGGTACCGCCGGAGGGCTTCGCTCGCGCGTTCCGCTTCTCCGCGACGCTCCGCAGCGCCGCTCCAGCCTGTTCCCCCCGTTGCCATCGGCGCGGGTGGAGCCGCGCTCCCCGCAGGGCGCTGTCGAGCTCGGGTGGTTCGGCCACGGGAGGTGAGGGGTACGAGGGGTCCGCTGAGCCGGAGCCCGCAACGCTGCCTACAGCCGGCGACTCCTTTCTGTTGGATCCGGCAGAATCTCTGCTCAGACCGAGCCTGAGCAGGTCAGCCGTCGCTTCTGTTGCATCAGTGCACACAAACCACCCTCTTACTCTAAAAGCATGCTAAACGGGATGCAGAATTTGAGACAGCAACACTCTGTTCCTGTTGTGTGTGCTAGTGCTTGCTGTCTCCAGAGCAGGTCTCAGGTACATCCGTGTTAGTTTTGGGCCGTCACATGGCACACCATGGCATTTTTCTCCATTTGCGCTCAAACTGTTGGGGTCCTGGTGCCTTCCCCCAGGCCGGTGCCGTGCTTCCTGTCTCTAGCTCCCCAGCAGGCGTTGGGCCCCAAAATTGCCCTTCTCTCTCATGACAGAAATAGCAAACAAATGTGTTGCTGCTACTTTGCCTGACAGATCTGAGCCTCGCTGCAGCTCTGTCCAACAGCGCTGGAAGCGTTTCTGCTACTTCTGTGCTGCTGGGCTCTGGCACTGTTTTACTCTGATACACGAACAGTGCTGGCAGATTTCCACACCGATACTTCAAACCGGCAGCAGCCCAGAGCACCAGGGAACAAAGCTGCCACCGTGGCTCTATAAATACAACCAACAAGTGGATCCCACTGCATCCTGCCTTTCTTCTCCTTCTCGGGAGCTTAATTCAGGACGTTAAACACAAGTGCCAGCTTTGTTTCTTCACTCTTCAGCTGGTAAAATTCTGATTAGAAGTATGACATGATTTACCAATGGACTGTCAAAATGCAGTGAGATTTAGAGACAAAATGAGGGAGCACTCTCTTGTTCTGTCTTGATGCTGAAGCATCAGTGTGGCTTTGTTTTCCTTGGCAGTGCTGAGGCTGCTCAGTGTGTCCTCTGTTGGGTCAGGGGATGTCAGGTGAGAACCTGCAGAATGCATCTGCCTCACCAGTGTGGGATGAGGATGTCTTTGTTTTTTATGATGCAGAATAATTATGCTGTGACACAGTGTACTCTTCTCTTTGTCCACTCATTTCTTGTGTGCTCTTAAGCTACATAGAACAGGAGATGAGAAGAGTTGGAGTGCTTTGTCTGGGGCTTTGTTGTCGTGTGGGTTTTTGGTGAGATGAAGGCATTGTTTACCCCCTCCAAAAACAGTGAAGCCTTACAGTTTGAGAAAGCATGGCCAAAAAAAGGGGTCCTGATACAAGTCCTTAGTCCTACTGAGTAATTACAGTTGTGAGCACAAAGAGCCAGAATGTAAAACTGCTGCAGAAGCAGCTCATTTATTTTCTCTTTCTGAGTACGGCAATCTGAGGACTAGACTTTCACATTTGGTGAAGCTGATGGATAGATTTGGATTTTTGCCATACTTGTATGTGGGACACACCAAAATCCTGATGGTAATGATGGATGCAGTTGCTTTTGTCTGTTTCTATAATTTGGAAATGGAGGTCAAGTCCACAAAACAAATTGATACATATTTTGTTCTAATGCTCCCTTCCACCTCCACCACCATGCGGAGCAAATGTCCTGATGTGCTTCTCCCAGCAGACAGCAAATGCTTTGTTTCCTTAAAATACCATCCCACACAGGCAATCAGTGGAACTGAGCAGCCATGGTCTGTCCCTCACTGTGAACCTACTTGGGCATCCAGCAGCATCCTGATGTGTCTGCTGGGTATCAGATAGCTGAGGAAAGGTCAGAATGCTTGTTTACCTTTTTACCTGCTTTTTGCTCCCATGCTGGGAAAGGTGTTTTCCAGAATCCTGGATTGGAAATGCCTGCCCAGTGCACCTCACCCGACAGTGATTCCCAATCAATTTCAGGTCTCAAATGTGGGTTAGAGCCCGGTGACAGAATGGAATTCATTACAAAATTAGCAAAATCCCTAGTGTAAAAGCAAGCATTGCATTCCAATCCCTAAGTGTGCCATTAATCAGAAAGCAAGAGGAACAGAGACAGTCATTTCTGGAGATGTTTTCATCTCTTACTGATCGCAAAAAAACAACCTACTAGTAAAGCAGCTGTTTGTCGGGGATTGTTTTTTTGTGCATTTGTTTTTTTGTTTGTTTGTTTTTGTTTTGTTTTGTTTTTGTTTGCTTCGTGTTTAAGACTAATAACTCACACTTGCAGAGATTAGAAGCACAAACAGCACTTTCCTGCAGATGAGCGTTTTGTAGCAGACAAGAGGCAGCTGGCAGGGAGTCCGTCATCATTCGCTAAATCTTAGGCACTTTATCCCATGTGCCGAGAGACTGGGAGCAGCAGGAGCAGGCTTGAGTTTGGATATGTGTTTATAAAAACACAGCTGTTTTTATCATTGTCGCTCACTGTCTCACCTAAGCACATCATCTGTTTTTCAGCTTGTCCAGGATTTCAATACCCAGGTGGCCCTGTACCGGGAGCTGGTGATTTCCATTGGTGATGTCTCTGTCACCTGCCCATCTCTGCATGCAGAAATGCACAAAACCCGGACCCAAGGATGTGAGATGGCCTATCAGGCTCACCAGAAGCTAGCGGCAATTTCTGGGTAGGAGCCTATTCATGTTAAAGTTGTACTCTCTTGCACATCTCTGCTAAATATTCCATTGAGGAGACTTTCATCAACAGCACTGACTTGTGTTTCTGTCTTAGGGTAGAGATGTATGACCACAAATTCTACCAAATGCTTATATCCCTATTATAGTGGAATTTGGTATCAAATCCCAGTCCCGTGACAGAGGTGATATCTCACTGATTTTGTGTGATACTTTTATGTAAGTGAGGAGGATTTTTCCCTGTATCACCAGACAGCTTAAAAAGATGAAGGAGGAAGCCTTGACGTTTAACACCGATGTAGCAACCAGTGCCTTCTCAGGCCTTCACTGGGTATACCTGAGAAGTCAGAAACAAGTAACAGTGCTAGTAGAAACTTGACAAAATTAGGGGAAAAAAGAATCAGGTGAAAATTATGTGAGGGGCGATTACAAAGTTTGGCTGCTGTGAAGCTTGTGTTTACTTTCTGCATGTTTTTAAAATCATCTGTGTTGAAATAAGGATTGAAGCTTTCCCAGCATGTATTTTTTTAATTTATTCTCTCATCGACTTTGTGTATTACGACATAAGCACTCCTTTCCATGGTGACAGAATGTATCATCATGTATCATCGCCTACTTCAGACTGCGCCACAGGAAAGACAAGCAGAGATAGAATAACTGTCTTTCAAAAGTGAATTGATGTTTTCACAAAGGCCAATTTTTTGTGGGTCACACAGCAGATGACAGGGATGTGACATTAACACACTCACTCCCGAGCCTTGTCTCTCTGACCAAGCCGTGTCAGTTTCCTGCTCCCACCTTACCCAACATAAATCATCATGACATTTTTATTTTCAGCAGCTCTGCCCAGTCCTCAAGGAATTTCTTTCATCAATTATATGGGAAAGCTGTCACAGATTTAGTGAATAGAGAAGACCACTGTAGCAAACACAGAAAAAAACATCGGTCATTTTAGTAGAACTGTTGATCTATTCAGAAGCAATTTTTTGTGCATAATCTCCTGTGCTGATATTACAAACTCTGATTTGCTCCTGAAACACAACAGATGTTTTTAAGTTACTAAAGTCTGGGAGAGTTAATTAAAAAAAAAAAAAACCGACAAAGCATGCAGTAGCCAGCACACAGTAACTCAACAACTGTAACACTGAGAACATGAAAACAAGCAAACAGTAATGAAATGGATTTTGTGTACTTTCAGACTCAATAGAGAGATAAACAAAACATACATATGAATAGCAGAACATAGGTTGGATTTTTTCTTTTTATTTTTTGTGTTGAAGAAAAATGTAAGTGCAGACTCATTTTAAAACAGAGAGCTTCTTTACGTAATCATTTCACAGTTGGGAGTCTGTCATATACACAAAGATGTCCTGAAGGTTGAGCAGTTGTTACGAGAATGACATTTAGCTAATCTAAAACTATTTTAAATAACTGTGATAATAACGTGATATCCATAACAACTGGTAGGTGTTAGAAACCCTCTGGAAATGACCTGTTCAGTTTGACAGACATTTTACAAGATGTGCTTCACAACGTCACCCTCCTACAGCTGAGGAAAGGCATATGAGCCAGCTCCACTTGTGTGGCATGTCTGTGAGGAAAGACGGGAGGTGAAGGTGCAGCAGGGACTCTGTGCAGAACACAAATGGAAGGAGAGGAGTAGTAAATAGAGGTGCAATCTGTACTTCAGATTGCAGAGCGATGTTGTGCGTATGGCATAGGATCTAGAACTTAATTTAGTGAGAAGAAAATATAATGAGAAGAAAAATATTTAAGGACAGGAATGTATTAAATCAGCTACAATATCCAACAGTCAGGAGGGCAGTGTGCTGTTCTGAAGTCACTGATAGTCAGCAGGTGGGACAAAGGTTCATTTGGTTTGCTACTTTAATTTAAAATGAGCAGCCCTGTGCTCTGCAAACTTCCAGATAACACAGCTGATTCCATCTTCCAAAGCTTGTTCAAGATAACAATCCTTGCCTATTGCTTTCCTAGCCAGAGATAATTATAACAGTTAACTAATTGTGTTACTGGCTTTAAGATTTCATTACATATCGGCATTCAATCAGTAACATCCTTTTTGTCCATTAGTGATATGAGCTATTGCAGGGCACTGGAGTTTCTTTCAAGAAGTTGACTTCACTTTATTAGATAACATTAAAGAAAAAAATGCTGAGGTGGAGATGGTACATTAGAAACTGCATGGGATAGAAGTCAAGAGAAAGAAAAAGCTTTGGCTTTGGGTACATCAGTACATCAGAGAGAGGTGTAATGTGAACAAGAGAAGATGCCCATTGTAGCTGTAACAGATGTATACACTTATATACTGTCAAAGGATGTTCATCTAGGCACATGGAACAAGTGAAAGCTGCACTTACATTTTAAAAACTAGGAGAAAGGAAAGCAAAGGAGAGAATGATAAAGGTAAGAAAGTAGTGAGGAAACACAAAATGTTAAGAGACTGGACTAAGTTGGAGCATATCACCCAATGTGGTCCAAATCTGACAGCAGCCAGTAGCAGAGATTTAAGGGAAATATATATACATATATATGAAAAGCAGATTGTACATGGAGCATTGCTTTCCCTTGTATACTTGCCACTTCCTAGTCAGTAGTTTAGGAATCTCGTGAGTCAAAGGCTGCATCTGAACAATTAATACCTGACCAATACAAGCTCACAGCAGATTTCAGAATTTGTATACGTATGAGGGTCTTCTACTTGGAAAATGCTGAGGATAAGTAATGACATCTATACACTGTGATGTGTTTAAAAACATTACAGATGAATTAATTAAAGTTAAGTTTATCAAGAAAGGAAACTTCAAATTCCATCTTTGGCTTTATAGCCCTCATCACGTGCTCTTCTTGAAGATGCATACATTCTGATGTTGGAGAGAGGTCAAATTTTCCCAAAGAGTTTACCTGAGTTTACCTGAGTTTACCAACATTATGACTTTCAGGGAACAAAGATTAGAAATAGAAATCAATTGAATGAAAATATTCTAGTTCTGGCTAATAACCTTATAGGAGTTAAAGTTAAAGCTCTTCTCTCAGTACTTCTTTCAGGACTTCAGGTCAGTTCTTGCTTATAGTAATCCTAATTCATATGAAAAATTCTTTTTTATTATTAATGCTATCTTCTGATGGCTGTGATCAAGCTCTGATTCTTTCACTGCATTTTCTACTATCATAAATTAAGTATCTTGTCTGAATTACATTATGCATCTTGTAGTATCAGAAGTTATGGTGAAACTCAGAGGAGGTAAAGCAGCAAGAAAATGGATCAGTATTTTTTTCTAAAGATAAACAAAAGGAAAGTGTTTGGAACAAGAGGGAGAAGGAAAAAAATGTGCAAACCTCTATTTTGGAATCTTTATTTTTTGGCTGGTAAATACTTTGATGGTATTTTAGATCAGAATTTGTCAAAAGTTTGAGATGGGAATAGAAATATAACTCAGAACTGCATTTTAAGGCACAGATCCGCGCAAGCGTAGAGACTTTTTTAAATGTTCCTTTCATATTCTCGAGCACTTGATATGCTTACATAATGCAAGTATTTCTGGGTGCACTTGGCACACTGAAACTAAAACTGATAATTTCTCTCTGATAATCTGATATAAATGTTGACAGCGGCTTTTTCTTGGATGAAATAGAAGCCTCACATCTGTGCTTTGAGAGGATTGTGCAGCAGGTCCTCCTGGACGCTGTGCTACATGCAAGATGATGTGGTGATCCAAGACAGCCAGTACAGCATCACCAAGGAGAGATTGTGCCTGACCAATCTGGTGTCCTTCTACGATGGAGTGATAGTATTTGTGGACAAAAGAAGAGCAACTGATGTCATGTACCTATATTTGTGCAAGGCTTTTGACGTGATTCTACTCCACATCCATATTTCTAAATTGGAGAGATATAAATTTGAAGGCTGGATTTCTTGGTGTATAAAAAATTGGTTGAATGATTGCAGCCAGAGAGTTGTGGTCCAAGGCTATGGTTTCAGCTGAATACTGGTGATAAGTGGTTTCACCAGGGGTCCATCATGAGACCAATGCTCTTTAACATCTTTAAACATCTTTATTGCTGACGCAGGCAGTGAGATTGAGTGCACCCTCAGCAAGTTTGCTAATGACACCAAGATGAGTTGTGCTTGAGATGATAGGACAGAAGGAAGGAGTGCCATTAAGGGGGACCAGGAAAGGCATGAAAAGGGCCCATGTGAAGCTAATGAAGTTCAAAAAGATCAAGTTCAATAAATTGAGATTGGGTCAGGGGAATCCCAAATACATGGTACAGACAGAGCATTCCTTGAAAGCAGCCTCACAATGAAGGATTTTTGGGTTTTGGTGGATGAAAATCTTGATGCAAGCCAGGAATGTGTGCTTGCAGCCCAGGCCAGCTGCATCCTGAGCTGCGTCAAAAGAGGGGAGGACAGCGGGTCCAGGGAGGGGATTGTTCCTCTCTGCTCTGCCCTCATGAGAGCCTGTGTGGAGTTCTGCATCCAGGCCTGGTATCCTTAGCAGAAGAAAGAATGTGGAGCTATTGGAACAAGTTCAGAAGAGGGTCATAAGGATGATCAGGAGGCTGGAGCACATCTCCTGTGAAGACAGGCTGAGGGAGCTGGGCTTCTTCAGTCTGGAGAAGAAAAGGCTCCAGGAAGACGTTCCACTTCTTAAAAGTAATAATCAGAACTCAGTGAACATGGTCCTTAGTGACTTGCTGCAGTGAGTTTAAGCAGGGAGGGGGACTAGATGGCCTCTTGATGCCCTCTCAGCCTGTGACAAAAGTCTCAGTAAATCTCCTCAGAATTTACATTGATGTGTTTCTGTTACTTTTACAATACAGTTGTTACATGTAGCTCCCCCTGAGTTCATGTGAAGTTGAGGTAGCAGACTTAAAAAACTTCCTGATGGCATTCCTGTCTTTCCTGCAACACACAGAAATGCTTCCGTAGTGTTGCTTTAGTAGTTTCATTTCATTTCCACTTTTGTTTTCTTATACAGTCTATCCTAGATTTCTG